AGAGGTAGTTCTTCAATACTAATATTATAAAAAATTGTGTCAAATGGTCCCAAGCGTAAACATCGTGTTGTTATAGATGTCGGTTCACAAGTAATTTTTATATGTTCTATTCACAAGCGATTTTTGTTATATTTTTTGAAGAGAAGGGGAAGTTGCCGTGGATACTCCCATACTAGCTCAGACAGCCCGAGGAAATTCTGCAGAACAAGCAAGATTTGTAGCAGTTCCGCAGGACTTTGTTTGGTATCAAAGAAGCGCGTGAAATATGAATGCCGCAAGAATTTGACGCCAGACTGATCATCGAAAACTTCCGCAGAACTTTCCACAATGTCCAGCGGAATTTCCAATAAATTGTTTGAGAATATTTGACTTTTTCTGTTCACTTTGTGGTAAATTTTCTACTTCCCAGCTACTTTATATTTTCGAATATCGCCTTCTAAGCTTTACGAGTATTATTATTTATTAGATTTATTAGACGAACCTGGACAATCGCTATCCGTCTTACATTGTACGTTACATAATCCTCCAATGATTCGAGGGCACTCATGTCGCGGTGCGCCTATTAACAACGATAATTAGAGTTTTTTAATGAATTCATCCGGTCTCTTAGCTGGTCCCATTATGAGAACTAGTACATAGCATGTATAAGAAGTTCTCCGCACATTAGTGGATTTTATGCAGAAGCTCATTGTTTGTCGTTAACACGAGGGTGCAGGCCTAGGGGGTCATGAAAGAGCCAAGGTCAAATTCTCAAGCACCATCTAATGCTGGGATAAATTTCACTGCTTTCAACAATTTGAGGACTCGCAACTGCGAAGGTTTCATGCCTGAGTGACCTCTCGCTGGACAATAAGATGTTGTGACTCTTTCGAACTTCGAAGACGAGTAATTATCCAGCGTCCACTAATTTTCAGCCTATATCGATCGTGAAAAGGACCAGTTATAGATGATGAATATGAAAGAGTATTATAGATATCGTAGGTAATGGTAAAGAAAAAACACTT